CACACATGTTTATACATACTGTATACTGTTTGTAAAGCTCAAAGAACTTTATACAGTACATATACAATACGATATACATGTACATCTTTACATACAAACATCCTATCATGACAATAATACATTCTTAAGTAAAACATAAAAATACCTTAAACTGCAAAACTTTAAATTTGTAAAAAGGTCAAGAAAACTAACAAACCTGAAAATACGATATCATTTACACACTTCCCTATAGAAATTAGTGTACCTATTGCTTAATTGTGAAGGATTGTATTTTAGAAAGGAGAAAGCTTTGGATTTTTATTTGTTTTGTGAGTCAGATGGATGACAGTGAACAGAAAGCCTCAATTAATATACAGACCTGGACCTATAGGTTTATTTGTTATTTGTGATATAACAAAATAAAACACAATTACAGACCAAAAGCTCAATGTGCCTCTGCAATGATATTTTATAAGTGTAATCTGCATCATGGCTATCACAAGGTTCCAGGTCATAGCCTCAGACCACCAGATTTTCAAACTGACTGAACATCATGTGGCATGGTGGATTAAACACTGCACTTCACAGAACTACGCTTTCAGGATAGTTTTACAGATAAAAATTTGACTCACCAGAGATTCTTCCTCAGCTGCAGAGATCTGTCTTATTGAATTTTATATTTCTGTTGAGCCTTTAATCGGGCAATGATGTCAAAGTTCATTTTACTATGCTCATCCAAAACTTATGTTCATTCGCAGAGATGTGGGCAGTCTCTCCTGAAGTGGATTGTTGGATTAGATATGAGGTGTAGATGTACATGTATATCAATCTTAGAAAAACATTTAAATCTAATTAATTAAAGACTGGGCAAGGTGTCACCAAACACATAATTAGCCAAAATGCCAAGACATACATCTTTTTCAATGCATCTGACATTTTAGAAGGTTTTTTCCTTAATATAATAATAAAATAATGTGAACCAATGAAATTGGGATAGTCAACAGCTTTAAATGATAAAAACATTAGAAAGATCAGAATCTTGAGGAGGCCATAAGGCACATTAAGCCCATTTGGAAGTTCGTGGCTACAGTAAATTACTTGAGGATCTCATCCAGCCATTTCTTGAAAACAAGCAATGCAGACAGAAGCCAGGGTTTACAGAAAGGACTTGTATTTTCAACAATCAACCTCTAAGGGATTTTATTCAAATGGTTAAATAATACAGGCCCCAAACAGAAAATGTGAAAACAAATGCAAATCAAAGAATCATGGCAAGTTTCTGATATGACATAAAGGTATTAAATATTGTAGTAATAAGGTAGTGTGCGCATGTGTGTGTCTGTACAGTATGCCTCCTGTGATGAACTGGCATCCCATCCTGGGTATAACCTGCCTTGAAACTGGTGCTTGCTGGGATAGGCTCCAGCTCCCACATGGCCCTGAACTGGACGAAGAATTTAGAAAATGGATATTTTCCATTTTAGAAAATGGATATGACCACCCTGAACACTAACACACTTTTAGCAGACACATAAATCTGATCTTCCAGCTTCTGCATAGACTGTTGAATGTTCTGTCTGTCTTTCTTTGCAGCTGTAGTCAGATAGTGAAGGTTGGTCAGTTGCAGTTGTTTTCAAATCTTGGCACTGGCAAAGTGATACCACAGATGTTCTATTAGACTCGGGTCAGAAGAAAACACCTGGGACATGACAAGACATCTACATTGTTTTCTTGAGTCATTCCAGTGTACTCCAATGTGAGCACTCTGAGGACTTGTATTTTTCTCCCGCTAGAAAATCACTTCCAGAAGAGGAAATGGTTCAAGGACCTAAACAACATAAAGTCCATCCAAGCCCCTCATCACTATTCTTCCAGTTCTCCACTGGGAAAACAATCTAATAATTTGTGTAACACTCGTCACCATGATGTCTCAACACACATTGTCTTCCATCAGGTCTGTCAACAATACTCATCTGTAAGTAAACACTCATCCAGTCCCTTTGCTTCTTCCTCACATGTTTGCTGGCCTGCAGACAATTACGGTTCTCAGCCGTCAACAAGTAACTCTTGAATTGCTTCTGAGTAAACAGATGGCAATTTACAGTTATTCTACGGATAGGTGGGTCATTTCTTCCTAAAATGTCTTATGCTATAGCCACTGGAGTCAGAAAATGATTACAGAAATGGATCAGATGGATGTGGCAAACTCAGAACTAGTCAGCTGATTGCTGAAGTAGAATACCCATTCTCTGCCAAACTCCTCTCACAGACAGGCAAACGTTGATGATGCTAGCAGCAAACAGGCAATCTTTATTAAAGTAGAACATGGTCAACTCTTTTTCTATTCTTGTGTTAAATAAGGTCTTATATTTTCAAATGTCAATCCGTACATAGTCTTTATTAAATGATTTTGGAATGTTTGACTCTAATAACAAGCACTGAGATACTTAAGTATTTGAGTTCTTATGCATCAAGCCTAGTAGTTTGTTATCTCACAAAAGAAACAAGTCAAAATCCACTGACTGCTATAAAACCATTTAAAACAAAAACAAAATATTTATTATCAATGCACTCTCAGGATGATACTAAGGTTTTCATGAGGTAAGACTGGGTTATTGTGGGATCAAAAGTAAAAAGAAGAGGAAGTGGGAAAGGATGGTACAAAGGAGGCCAGACTTTGAGGACTGAGTTTATGATGATAGGGAGAGGACTGAGAAAGAGATAACTTTTAGAAAGACAAGGAGATGGGAGCAGAAATGAGCATCAGTGGGAGGAAACTGAACATGTTGAGTACCATCAGCATAAAAAATGACTCATAAAGTCATGTGAAGAGATGAGAGGATCCAGAATGTGAATGCAGAGAGAGAATAACAGGGGACCCAGGACAGAAACGTGAGGGACACCAGTGGAGAAAGGATAAACAGTAGAGTAAGAACATTGCCAGTTACCTGCTAAAAACAATTAGTGAGGTACTGTAGGTAGAGAACCAAAAAGCCTTAGGTCAGTGAGTGCTCACGAGAGAATAAAATGATCGACAGTGTCAAAAGCAGAAGCAAGACCAAGAAGCATTGAGAAAGATAAATTAGGGATTATAAAATGATTAAAGAGAACAAGAAACAGAGAGCTGTGTAGTTCTTATAAACTGAGAGCTTACAAAAATTGTTGGTACAAGGCTGGATGACATAGAGTGTGTACATAATAACAAAACTGAGCACACCTGTACTCTACCCTTTGTGCTATTCTAAACTACATAGTCTATGAGTCTTTAATGTAAAAAATAATGTTTCCTGTAGTGCATTATGGTAGCTTTACTTTAATTATCAGCAAGGTTACTAAGCAAGCCTTTCAGCACTGTGACAAAGCCTTGAAACAGAATCTTCTGCAATTCCTTGTGTACTTCCTCCAAATTTGTGCAACCGAAGTAGTGTGCATGAGCATGTATTTTAGTACTGCAAGCATGGTCTTATCTGAACCATTGCTTATTTCAGGAAAAACTGACAATATATTTGCTACTAAGGATGCAGCTCTGTACATACTATGAAATGAAAAATGAAGCTTGAACTCAGTATCTTATTTTACAACTCCAAAGAAACGGTAACTAAAGAAGCTTTTAGTTCCTTATGATCATCTGTAGATAAAAGTTGCCAGTTTCTGCTTTAATGTCTCACATTATTAGGTTTTAGAAAATCTGAATCTTTCATCAATTTTGTTGCACGGCTCAGTGGGGGGTCATTTAAAAAAGAATTAAAGTCAGCTTGAACATTTATAGAAGCGGATACATTGCCTCACTAGCCAGATTTTCTGGTGACAAGATCTATATACATATGTTTCTATGAATATGAACATATGCCTGTGTGATAGTGTGTGCATGTGAGTCAATAATGTGAAGACATATTTGTATTTCCATGTATTTTCAATGTCTTTCTGAAACAGTGATACAGTAAACTTCACCTTATTTGTATTAAGACAATATTCTAATACAATATTATATATAATATTTTAATACAATTTTAAATTTAGGATGGGATTATGTTAATTGACATAAAGTACACTGTAATCCTAATCTCATTCATTTATTATTTGACTAAGAAGATTAAACCATATTGTGCTCTAACAACAGCAAGATTCATCATCTGTCAGCTAATCATAAAGCTCTGTGGATCTACATCATTTAAAACATTAACACAACATAATATTCTTCTTACATACAGTATTTAATGTTTTCTACTGTAGCTTTAGGTTTGTGCTTTAAGCAGTATTGGCAAATCTATGGCACCAAATAGCCTGGGAAAGAAAAATAACTAAATGTTGCTTTATTAATTAATTTAAGAATTTGGAATTCTTAAAAAATGTAAGACTGTTTTACTACAATTAATTGCAATTAAAACAGATGACAAATATATATAGATAATATATAACCTATACAGTAAATATGTAATAGGTATTTAGAAAGAGTACCTAAAATGTTTTTTAGTATAGATATAAAGAGTACTTAAATGTTTGCTAGCACCTTGAATTCAAATAACTAATTTAAATGATAAGCATTGAATATCAGCCTTTTGATTTATAATGGTATGAAACAGTGAAAATGATCTATTCATACCCAAACTTTTCTCATGAACTCACAGCACAGTAAAAGTGGTTACCTTCAGTGCAACACAAAGCAGTTACACCAGGTTTTTTGACAGGCTGTTACAAATGAATCAAAATAAATACAAACAATAAAAATGGTTGCACGTGTAAACTATATATCTTTAAGTATTTTAATATCTTCCAGGGGTACCCACTAGCATTTTAAGGAACAAATTAAACATTTACATTTTTTGCTGTGCAGTGAGGCTTAACATTGCCAAAGCCTCATAACCAAAGTAAGGCCCCAAGGGAAGCTTCACCACTGACAAATTAATACCTCTGAGAGGAGAGCTGAATGGTGGCAATAAACTCATTTGTTCCCCCAATAATGAAGAATGACTTTTTTCTTTACCACATCTGTGACTGTTGCCATGGTGACCTGGCCTTACCTCATTGCTTCTCGAAGTGCTCCACGCTCACTCAGAGTCGTGTGTTTGATGTCATCAAAATTGTTCTCCAGCTTCTCGCAGCTCTGCCATAAAACAAAAGGTACAGTCGTTTGTCTCTGAAGCATTTCACTGATCAGGGAAATTATTCAGCCGTACTTTTTTAGGAGGCAGCAGCAACAGCAGCAAACATAACGGACCTTATCTTCATGCAGATTACACACTGGGCTTTATAGTGCACATGATTAATCAAAATTGACATCATGAACATATCGGGGAAACAAAAGTCCCTTCTATGTTCGCCATGCTGTTGTCATGGCAATCCTCTTATCAATTTCTCAACCTCACGAATAAGTGTCCAGCAGCACAGAAAGCTGGCGTTATTGACATACTGACAATTAACACAGGCAGCACCCTTGCCCTTCTCTCCGGAGATAAATAACATCCTCCCATGTCTGAGATCTCTAGCTGCAGTACATCAACCCAACAAAGACAGGTTTAATACCCAGCAGCTCTGTAGGTACTGTGTTATGTTTTTGTTTGCTTGCTTGTTTTATTATTTCTGTTTTTTAAGAAAAACATAGAAAAGGGCTTTTGCATTTTTATTTATTTTCTAATTAGTAAATATATTTAGGTACAGTACATATCTAAAAGTATTTGAATGTGTATGATCCCATGACAAAAACTTTGGAAACCTTCATTTGTGAAACTCAATACAGTATATAGCATGCTAATAGTTTACTATTTTTACATTAGTTTACATGCAAGAGCATGATTTGATACATTGAACAAACAATTAAGAATCTACCCAAAGACAATCAACCTAAACTGTTTTTAAACTTAAAGTTCTTAGAACTTTTAAAACCAAACTGCTTGACCAACAGTATTTTTAAGTAGTCTGCAAAAGATCAAAATGTGTCTTAAAAGGTTTGAAATTAACACGTTCTAAGTGTTTTATGCTGAGTATGGTCCTTATCCCATTTTAAAACAGTACATACACAATTCTATTCAAGATTTAAATTGCCTATCTTTGTTCGTATACTGTACAGTAAAAGCATTTGGGCTTTGCAGCAATTACAACACACATTATGTAAAGGGGGAGGTACAGTATATACTTTAGTAACCCTTGATGAGTATCTTTGAGGCAAATCTATTAAAAGTACAGCAGTAGTACACCATAAAATATCTAACAGCTTCATACATAAAATATGTGAAACTAATAGAATAATACTGGGAGGCAAGTGGTGTTATCCATATAGACACTGTTTATCTCCCTAAAGCGCTTTCTCTGGTACTGATTAGAATCCTGGCCATGTAGTTTTAATATTCACAAAAGCTAATTCACTTGTATACAATGTTAGAAAAAGCAAAGAAGGTCATATTTTATTTTTAATAGTAGGGAAAACACAAATTTCTATTGACACCTAATTTACATGATTACATTCGGAGTGCAAGTCAGTGAATTTTAAATTGAATTCTCTCAATGTTCTTCACAGAAGTCTTTATTTAATTGGGAAGTGTGAACAAACGTTCAGTTTTATACTGTTGTACAAAACAAATGGTATGGAAATTGATAATTATTTTGCTGTTTGAGTTTATGGAATACTGAGAGATGCCTTGCTTCTGAGGACAGCCAATGTGTGACTCCTCAGTACTCCTTCTCAATATAAGCTGAATGCATTTTCACCTACCCTCCATTTCACAAATTTGAAATCTCACACACGTAAGACTCAAAACATCACAGTCTAATTATAAGAAACATTGACAAAAATGTTGTTGAACGTACAGTCTTCTTTAAACACTTCTAAAGGGGAATGGGGGGCAGTGTTTTAAAATTAAAGTTGTAATGCTAATTATAATTACAATTAAAATGTCAATTGGCAGAGCTTTGAAGACTATTCAGGACGTTCTCGAATAATGCCATTAACCTGAAAGGTTATAGCTCTGCGTTTTCTTACATTACTATTCATAATAGGTGTCTGATGATCTAGGAGGACACATAAGAAATCCATAACTATTTAATTATTTTCAAGTTTTAAAAGGTTCAGGCTCTAATTTAATCACCACTGGCTACTGAATATTTCACTTTTTTTCAGGAAATCTGCAAAGACAGGAAAGCATACTTAAACAGTACAGTATATACTGCACTTTAGTTAAAACACTAAATTTACTGTGCTGTTTCATCATTACAATCTGTGCAAAAACACAAAGTAATCAAAGTAAGATGAACACCTTTGATAATTCATTATGCATTCTTTTCAGGGTTACGTTAGTTACCAAATAAACTCACCATAATGAAGGGCATGCTCAACATTTAAAGTTGTGGTTTACAGAGACTATATTTTTTCATTGTGATAAGATTTGAAGTTTTGAATGATTACTTTGTAGGACTGGTCATCTCAGATACTGCACCATAGATATTGAGTTTAAAACCTGCTTGTTGGATTAAAGCATCGCAAAATGCCCTTTAAATTAACAACTCCTGGAAGATTTATGCATTTAATTCAAAAGAAGTTGGTTTAATAAGAGTAATTTAGCACTGTGAAATGGAATGCTTTCTTTTATATCTGCGATAAAAAGCTATAAAAGGATTTCAGCACTGCAGAACACAAAGTTCAACAACAGTACATGTCAAAACATCTACAGTTTAGTGCTGGACACACTTAAGTGACTTATGATAATCTGTTTAATGAGACACCATGAAGAAAAGAAAGAGCTAGTTGTAAGGAGTCATTGATGACATTATACTGCTCAACAATAAATACAGTTAGCTGGGTAGGCATTAAGCAACATTGTACAAGCTACTGTATATACTGTAAAGAAGCATGAAAAATGTGCTTGGAGGAAAGATTTCTTTATTAAAATTCAATATAATTAATTTAAGCTCAATTCCCTACCTCTTACAAGGGGGAAGGGAACATGTAAGCCGTATAAGTGCCTGTGGTTTAAACTGATGCCACTATCACAACAGGAATCCATTTAACAGTGGAATACGCTGGGTACTCATTGTTCACACTGACCAACGTGTCTGATATATGTCTTTCATCAAGTCCCATTAATTCCAATCACCCCATTCCCCATTTACAAAATCTTGTTAACAGTTCCTTGACCTCTGACCAGGTGAAATGAATAAATTGGTGGTATGACCAGTGGTATAATTATACTATACAGGACTAATGGACAACTCCTTTGGAGTGATACTAGTATATTCAACTATAAGATATAAGAATTTTGTGCATATTTGTAATTAATATAATTACAATTTTAACAATTACAACTGTAATTGCAATTTTTCCATTTATGATTGTGATTGTCTGTTTACTTATAACTTCACAGTATTTTATCAAAAACAAAACTACACCAGGAAATATACATTAAATGAAATTATTTTTTCTACAATCATACAGGAACATATAATATTGATTTTGTGTGTACCATGATATAACAATATTAACTGATTTTTAAAAAGCTTCAACAGCTCTCTTCAAAGTCCTATTTTTTCCTCATTCAGAACTATTTTTCTCCTTTATTTTGAGGGCATTAAAAAAGGAAGGGGTGTATTTTACCTGATACACCATGTGCCATTTTATTAAATATCTTTATATAAAATAATTTAAATATAGTCATTACTTTGAAAGAATACAAAATATTTAATGAACAATCTGTCTCAAAACTGAGGCAGTACCACAGATATGATTTATTTACTTTGATCTTCAGATGATGTAGTGGAATATTTGCTCTCCATTTTTCACATATTATTCCTCAATAATGACACATAAACCCAGAAAAACTATTAATGCATCATCTTCCATTATGGTCCACTCCCACGACACAAAAAATTTTACATACTAAAATTTAAAAAATTTAGAAAATCTTCGCCTGAAGTATTATTGTACATGCTGGCAGACACGGTAATAAAGTGTCATCATTGGTTTTAGAATGCAAACTGAATATTAGGTTCTTTCTGAAATTTTGACAGTTTTGTTTGCCTGGGAAACATAATGTTGTTCTCTTTGTGGCCCTTCCTGTTCAGTAGAATTAACAGACGTACAACTTTTTAAAAATTGAAAATTGAATCAGACAGTTTTCCTTTAGAAGTTTAACTTTTTTTTATCCTTTCAGTATTTGACTTTTTCTGTAATTATTTTCAATCTGGAATTCGATTTTAATCCTTTACAGAAGGATTATATTTCTGTACAATATTTCAGACATATTTGGCAAATTGTGATTCAATTATTTAATATGTTAATAACATTTAAGGAATATTTTTATAATAACAACAGATTTACTTTATCCAGTATCAAGGGAGGCTATTATTATTAATTACACATTTATGGCTGCTTTTGGGAATTGTCACCACAATTTAAATAGCTTACTAAAGCACTGTCGTGATTTTTTAATTAAAGAATTCATTAAATTTTTCATATCTAAAGATGACGTAAGAAATAAAAGGCAGTTAAGAAATAGTTGAGCAATTTTCTAAAAGGTTTATTAATAAGGATATTTTCAATGTAATTATATCAGATTCATTATTATCTCCCCACACACATTCCTTTACGTTGAAATTAAAACCCAAAAAGAGAGAACAGAGATGATTATTAAGAGGAAAAGGATAATTTAAATTATGTAATTTATTCCTACAATACGATGTGGAGTCTGGTGACTACAGTGCAATTCTTTTTCCAGATTTAAGGTTTTATAAGACTCTCAACTGAGTTTCAGATCATTTTAATGCCCTGTGAAGCTAAGCACTTGGGTTATTTGGAAAATTACAGAAATCATTGCCAAGAATATAACCGTAAACTCTTAGATTGCACATTGTGCATTTCTTTTTGTCACAATAACTTCTGCTCCAGCAGCTGGTACATTACCTACGCCCTTTAATACTTGGGATCTGAAAGCAATCTGGAAAACTAATTAAATCGGATTACATGCTACAGACAGATTATTAAAATTAGACCTACAATAGATTGCACAATATTTATTTGCTCACCTGGAACTTAACATTATTAAGATGTACTGTTTTTCTCACATTTCCTAATACAAACTCAATGTTTTTACACCCTATTTAGGTAATAAAACTATGATGTTGACTGTAGAGCAGAAATGTTATCAGCTTAAACAGGTAAGCGTCTTTATTATTTAAATCAACAGGACCTTTTCTAGCAATTGTAGTGGTTCTTTGGGTATCTGCCCTTGCCGCTCCTGCCCTGCCAGTTCGTCCCTCACTGCCTGGGCGCTAACCCGGGTCTCCGGCGTCATGCAACAGGGAACTTATTTCTGAAAATGTGTCTATGGCACTACCGATTTTCTCCCCACTGCCATGAATCAACGTGAGGCTGCTGTTCTTCCATATCATTCAAGTGCCCTCATATGGAATTAATGAACATTCGCCTTCTTATGAACAAAATTCATGACCCCTGTAGCATCTTAGTTATACTGTACCATGGAAAAATCATGCAGGTGATGCTAAGCCTAACAAAACCTGCAATAAAGACCACTGAAATGGCCATTATGTCTTTAAGCAGAGAATAAATCCATTACACATGATCAATAAACTGCTGAGTTGCAGCGTGAATGCTGAAAAGAGAGGGCTGTTCTTTGGGTTAACAAAATCAGGTAAAAAGATAGACACATTTTATTGCAATTTGTCTAGGCTTCAGGTGCTTCACAAACGGAATGACAATTTCATACCAAAATCCTAACTGTCACTCTAAACACATTATTCATTCATATTCTAAATCATCTTATCCAATACAGGGTCACAGGGGGACCAGGAGCCTAACACAGCAAGCAAGGGGCGCTAGGCAGGATATGCGCTGGGCGGGACGTCAGTCCATCACAGGGTACACACAGACACAAACATGCACACGCTCACAACATGGGCAAATTTCACAGAAGCCAACTAACCTACCGGGATGTCTTTGTACTGTTCGATGAAAACAAAACACCCTGAGGAAACCCACGCATACATGGGGAAAAGATAAAAACTCCATGCAGGTAGCACCCCAGGAATTGAACACAGGGCCCCAGTGCTTTAAAGTACCAATGCTAATCTTTGTACCACCATGCCACACATAAACAAATAACGAGTTTTAAAAAAGGAAAAACTCTTTGTTCCTTGTTCCTAAAATCGTAGGAACTATACATTTGGTTTAATGCTCCAGTGTGAATAATGAAAGTGGAACTAGTATGTCTTGTAAAGCCAGCTTCCTTCAGACAGAACGATGCAAATCCTCAAAATCAATAGCAACTAAATTGGTTAAATAATAAAACAGGCATTTAGTTAAATAAAGTGTATTCAAGAATGACATTTTTTCACTATCATCTTGTATACATGTAACTGCATTAAAGAAAAACCAGGGCCTAGATCCAGCTGTTAAAGAAAAAATGTCCCTTTTTATGATCATTTGAATGCAGCGATAGGATAGAAGCTTTAGGATAGAAGACGCTATACTATTCCAAGCAATCAATGTCCTGAAAATTAAAGCCTACACATGAAAAACCTCACACAGTCATGTTTGATCATAGCTGCTGGATGCTTGTTTTACATGTAAAACAAGCATCCAGCAGCTAAATATACTTGGATTAAGGAAAAAAAATAATGATGAAAAGGACTCACTGAACAATTTTTATCAGCATTTCTCTTCCAATGTTTCTTCTCCCTTTTAGTTGTCGCCGTAGAACACAGTGATGCATGAGTCTTCACACGTGGATTTAAAGTCAGGATATTCTAGGAAAAAAAAGTTTTGACACTCAGATGATCGAAACATCAGAAGACTGAATTTGAACAGATAACGTTTCATGGCCTGAGTATTATGTTTTACAAAGACATACAAGTCTAAACATGAATACTAATTACCCTATTTAGTACCATTTTCAAATAAGAGCTGTAGATTGTTAAAATTGCATTGCATTCCATACAGGTTTTTACTAAATCTGTAGCCTCCCTTTTGATTTACAAATTAGAAACTTAACAGTTATTTAATATGTTTGTTTAAATGTTAAGCTGTTGTAGAATGCAGCTTTGAAACTTATGTTCATGTTCTTACAGTATAACAACTCTTACACTAACAACTCTTTCCACCACTTACTGTACATTATAACAACAGTATAGTATAAACAAGTAGTTTCACAACTACACTAAAAACAAAAAAGAAAACAGAGCAGAACCTACAGTATATAAATAGCCCCAGAACATCTGAGGTGAGTCCCAGATAATTAAGAGTGATTTAAAGGTTTTAAGTAAAAACCATTTTCAACACAGAAAAGTGTGAAAAACGCAGAAATCTGATTCAATGACCCTGTGTCCGATCAAAAATAATGCTGTTACAGTATGTAACTTACTATATGCATAAACCTTGCAATTTAGTGAATAGGTATCTTAACAAATTTAGTAATGTAACAGAAAAGTTACACAATACCCCACAGCTCCACATATATTAATAAGTTGTGGTTTCTTTGTATCCTTTCACTACATTGATTAATCCATTAATCATTTTCTGGGGGTAAAACAATAAACCAGTAGTAAAAGACCTGCCGTTGCCTTAGGCTTACTAATTGTTTTCTGTCAATACACGAACAAATATTAACATAACAACCTTCAAAAAATGTTGTTGGATGCACCTTATTGTATATTTTGCCTTACACAAAATGTAATGTGTAGCTTGAATGATAACTTGAAGCAAAACAGCTGTACTGTACAGTATGTACCATATAATTGATTATTTATAATACCAAAAGCCATCCTGTACTGTCAGGTATTACTAGTTGTAAAACACAATTTTTCAATATATGTCTTACCTATTTTCTTTCCCTGTAAGAATACAAGACTGCTGATACATGTATCAACTAGATTCATCAATTCAAACTTAAAATTAGTGTAAGCAAATCATATCACACACTTATAGGGCTACTGTATGCAAACCATCTTGTCAGAGTTTTTTTTCTTAGGGGATGGCATTTAATTGTTATAGGAAAAATGCAATCCTGTATATACCCCCGCAAACCGATTCATTATACAGATCTGTATCTTTACATAAAACATTAAACTGACAGAAATCATACTGTGGAAAAAGAATTGGGAATCACTTTCAGAGTGACGCCCATTTTTCATTTAATTAAGAAATATATTTAGGTGATTTAAGTAACTGATACATAGAATCAACGGTGATTATGCGTATTCTCCATCTTACATTTTAAAAGTGTGCTGTAGTACACAGATATTCCATGAAAAGTATGCCAGAATTCCAACACACTACAAGAATTGCAGAGGGTGAAGATTCAATATGAAACATATGGCAAGTGACAGCATTACTAGCTTTAGTTTACGATGTTTACCATATAATATGGTTTTTGATATTATGTGAATTATTCCATCAAATTGTGGCAAATAATTTTCATACACACCTGTGGATCCAGGCTCTTGAATCCCCCATGTTTTCAAATAAGCTAAATGTTTATTAAATCTACAATCAGAAACCTTGAGTATGACACCTCATTTTTCAACAACACTCAATGGAAGAAGCTATGGTACCATCGATCCTTGAAATCATTCAGGGAGATAAGGAGCTTAAGCCAATGAATAAATTATGTTTAAACTGTATTTGAATTAAAATTGTTGCTAAGAAGACGTAAATCCACACTACATGGTCAGATGTACCTGCTGTGATTTCCCTAATGGAATATGAATACATTTTTTGCTCCAGTCCGTGAAACTGGGGGATTTTTTGTCTTCAGCAAGACAAAATCTTGGATAGTTAAAGCAAACATTGCAATTTGCAACCATCCATTATAATTAATGCTGCTACTTTTAATATAGATGCCCCCTTACCAACCAGCTTGTATCCCCATGCTCCTGTCTTACATGATTATTGTCAGCTGTACAGGCTACATTATGTTTCAACTGCACAACATATTGGGATCACAAAAGAGAAAAAAAAACTAAATTCATTCCAGAATAGACCAAGAGAATATGCTTCATTGGAAAAATCGGTTCTGTGTTCACAGATTTAATCTTTAATCCTATTTATTTGGAGCTTGAATATTTCAAAATAACACATTACAATTTTTTGCAAATTCTAAAACATTCAGGATATTCTAACAAAATCCGAAAGATACGTTCTATTTATCACATGCTACAGTAAACAATAACAGTAAAACTGTCCTTCTGAACTATGACATTTACTGAAGTTATAAGGGTGGTGTTGTTTGAAATAGGCTGTGTTACATGTACATTTTGAGCTCTCTCCACCAGGGCTAGGAAGAACTAGTTCTAGATTTTGACTACATTCATTATGCACAAGAATACGTATTCCAAAGCATGATGATTTTATCTATCTATAAGAAAAAGGTCAAAGCATATATAAAATTTGTGGCTGCTATCTTTAGACAGATTCACAACTACTGCACATTTTTAATTATTTTTTTATTTTAAAAATGAGGGACAGCATTATTATTATTATTATAAAATACGGAATATATCAAATCTTCCTTCAGACGGATCTCTTTCAGATCTCAAATCTGCTTGTCGTCACAGTTTATTTTCAAATAATAATAAAAAAAAATGCTTTATCTAAAGGTTACCTTGAGTAAAGGCCAAACCGAATCAGCCCTTAGGGTCCCTTATTAGAGCAGATTTTACTGTACTATAGGATAGATGGAAGTGGCTAAAATAAGCTCAAAAAGGATGAAATAGTCTGATCACAAGAGCTTCTACGCACAAGAAACAACCTCTTGACCATCTGAAGACGACCCTTTAATAAAACTTCCTGAGTCATATCTTGTAGGTAAGTTTTCCCGCCCCCTCGAAGATTAACTCCCCATTCCTGTCAGCAGCTGCCAGGAAGAAAAAGAATGTTAGATTTCTAACATGGGAGACTGATTCATTCTTGCTACCGTTATTAAATCCTGGCATTTTTTACTATTCAAAATCATGTTATATACAATATCAGGCTGGTGACCAAAAACTTGTTTAAACAGTTACACAATGCATCATCGTTTCAACAGAGGATGTATGACTACTCTATCCCATGCAACAATTGTGTAAGCACTTAAAATTGTATTAACAATTGTGGTAACAACTGTGTTAATTGTGTCCCTAAGTCTCTTTTTCTATGTTCTGCTAGAAATAAATTATTTGGTGCTACAATCAATAGTTTAACCTTTCAGATAGTGTCTGAACTTTGTATATAACTATGCAGAAGACACATTAAATGGTAAGGCAAAAATGAACTTTCACTCCAATGAGTATATTGTGTTTTTCTTTAAACAATGCATAAGGACATTTTCAGTGGACAATAATGGAAAACATTACAAATGTTTGATTTCCACAGTACATTACTGGCACTTACTGTTGATCATCCCAAATATGCTGGAACAGATATATTGTCACCTTTTACAGATCAAGTTGTGATACAGATCAAATCAAGATTTACTTTTCTAGGATATTTTTGAGAAACCTGATAATTTCTGAAGTGGAAATAAATCCCCTTCTTAGAAAAAAAATGGAATGCAAAGAAATTAAAAGTGGAGACAGATTCTGTATGATAAAACAGATTTTTTCTTCTGTTAAGATGAAACAAACTGTGATTAATAATTAAGACTACTCCCCTTTCTTTAGTTTACAAGCTTTGCAGCTGTTATTTTTTGCATTTGGAATGTATGGTTTCTTCCTAAACATAAACTATACAGTATAAACTTTATCTACTACACAAGCAAACATATATCTTTATCATCTTTGTCAAAATCTTTATTAGCCTAATGTAATTTTGATGTTCTGGATGACGACAAGTATTTGTTTAAATACAAGCCGGCCTATACAAAATACCCACTGAGACTTTGCTACAAAGTGAAACAAAAATCAAAGGAAATCGGAATGATTTTAAGTACAACATAAGCAGCACAAACACAAGTGAAGACCAGATTACATTGATAATAAAATGAACAGGGCAAGGTTATGTACTGTTTCCAGCAGTTGCAGGCTATAGTTTCAGATACGAAATGAGATGCTACACATAACACTTAAAGCAAGACCAGACATCATCCTATTAGTTCTTTAATTTCACACCTAATAAAGTGTAGTTAAAACACAGCATTAAATAAGCACTAAAAAAAAATATTATTATGTGTTAAAGACTGTATTTATACATTTCTACTTAATGTGGTTTAGACAAACCAATGAAGTTATGTCAAGGCCTCAAGGTAAACGTCATGGACATAATGGCAAGGTCATTTAGTAAAGCAGATTTTGCTCTGCTAGGATCCTCTGAAATAAAGAGACTTTGACTTTAACAAATAAGAAACTACTTTAAACAAAGCACTATTTTTTGAGTCCCGCCATAGTTTAAAGTTGTTGCAATGATAAACTCATCCTCATAACAGTAACAAATAAACCACAAAAAAATGGATAGTATTTTACATTTGAAGAAGGAAATAAAAATAGCTGATGCTGAGCTTGCTATATAACAATACAAAAACAGTACCACAATTACATAAACAGAAAAGAAGAAAAGAAAAAGAAATTGCTATAATAAAGACTGTGAAAACTATGTGAAACTAAATCTAACCTCAACTTATGGAATAGATGGTTTCCAACTAGGTATATACTTAACATGTAACCCAATAATTTCAGTTTTGTATCAAATCTGCTCAGAATTTGAAACATAACTGTCATTTAATGCATTATCTAGGAAAGCTCACTTACAGGTCCACATTCAATTGTCACAGGAAATC